CAGAAAAAAAATTAGAACGCACATCCTTTCTGTGAACAACACAAAACTTTAGCCAAGCATCTTGTGGTCACTCTGCCAGGCTTTTGAACAAATGTGCATTGGCTAAATCACATCATATACACGCTTATAATTCTTCATAAATGAAAAGAACATTCAAATATAAGCCGTTACTGTTAAATGCGATTGCCTTTATTATGGAATTTCATTAGTCCCAGATACAAGTAAGACTTTATTAACTACATAAACACTTAAACTAGTCTAACATACTACATAAACACATAAACTGGTCTAACATCCTATATACACACATAAACTGGTCTAACATACACATACACACACACACACACACATACAGTTGGTATAGGAACAGGATTAAAGCTTAGGCAGTAAAGAGAAGAGAAATAAAACATGAAGCTATGGTATCATTGGATATTCAGCAGATCTACAGCCTGAAGGAAACATCAGTTTCTTAGTTCAAACACACCTTTGTAAAAAGGTGCAAATGATACTTAATGTATCAATTAATAAGACTAAGTTTGATACTTGCACATCTTGTCTGTCTGACAGAGAGTCCTGATGCAATCTGAAGGCTCAAGTTGATCTTTGCTGAAGTTGGTTGATGAAAAAGAACCAGTTTGAGTCAGATGATCTTGGTGAATGGAAAGTCAAGGCCCGAGGCCTAGCGCAGACTTAGGATGTCCTTAGAGCGTTTTAGCTCGCATCCTCATCTTCTCAGAATATAACAGAACCGCCGACTGAAGGCGGGTCACTGATGTGAGGCCTTTAAGGTCTGAGAAGATTCACGCCTCTCAAGATGGGCTTTTCCAATGAGAAAGGCTGAAATCCCAAGCGGGAGGTTGCAATTACGGGAGGGTTTTACGACCCTTTGTGTGAGGGCATGGTAATTTGCAAATGTAATTCGCTTGGGTGTTGATGCACAAACTAGTAAAGATTCTTAGAACACTAATATGTTGCATAGGTATCAGCATGTAATATGTACTCTCAATTAGATCATCCGAAGATGAATTCATAGGGACCAAACATGATATAGGTGAGGTTATATTAACTAGTGGTCTATCATAACATGCATAAAACAGCATACACTACAACAGACCAAGGTTATTTTCGTAAACGAAAACCAAGACTAAAACGACTGATGAAAAAACAATTTCATAAACTGAAATAAAATAAAAACATCAAAATAATTTAAAAACTACAATGAAACTAAACTAAACTAACAACAGTTATTGAAAAACTAACTGAAATAAAATAATAATTATAAAAAATAAATAATCGTTTTCGTAATTATTACGTTCTCACCCCTTGGCGGAAAAATATACGAGCTGTGTGGAGGTTTAGGGAAATAGCCTACATGTAATGGCGCATCACGCACATGGGGTTATCTGATGGAGAGACGCAAAGCAGTTTAAAGCCTGCACGGGTCCTGTTTGGTAAACGTGCACCAGCAGTACTTAACAGAACACCCGACCCATTATTTAATTTAATTCTGTACCAGACCAGAACTGTTTGACATAAAGACCGCGAGTCGCGACCCGAACCGCACTCGCATTAAATCTATTACATCAGGTAAACAAGATTATTTATTTTATCATGTAACACAAGCAATCAAAAAAACATTAGGCATTCTAAGTTGGTGCTTTGAAGAAAAACAGACACGCAGCGCAACATGATAATTAACAGAAAAAAAATTAGAACGCACATCCTTTCTGTGAACAACACAAAACTTTAGCCAAGCATCTTGTGGTCACTCTGCCAGGCTTTTGAACAAATGTGCATTGGCTAAATCACATCATATACACGCTTATAATTCTTCATAAATGAAAAGAACATTCAAATATAAGCCGTTACTGTTAAATGCGATTGCCTTTATTATGGAATTTCATTAGTCCCAGTTTTGATTGATGCACGACTGTTCACGCAAAAGTGAGCAAGACACCACAGTTATAGCCTAATATCATGATTATGGTTAAATAAGAAAATACATATAACCAAATCAGGCTACATTTATTTTCATACTAAATATCTCAACACACATCATTGGATATGACATTAAGCGTGACTTGTGTAGATTAATTTAGTAAAAAAAAGGCTTTCCTGCTTTCTTTGTCATATATTTGTATACTTTTACTATCTAATCAGTCTCAGCATGCGTTAATTTTGTGTCGCTATATGTTTGCCTCACTAAGGT